CCAGACACCAAGAAGGGGAAAAGGTACTTCCTGACATGCTGCATTTCCTTGCTGGGTAAAGCACTCTGACCCATGGGCTGCCTCGAATGCACAGTGTTTTCTACAGCTACTAATCTTTAAACAGCTCTCCTCCCAACTAGATGGTTAGTTGGGCCTTCTATACATGAGGCTTCAGGATTTCCATTTCAAATCTTGGCTGAGTTGCTTCCTCTCCATCTTGACTACCATCTACTGAGCCCCAGGAAGGGCTTTTGCAAAAGTATCCACAGTCAATGTGACTGGGTGACTAAAGGGTTGGTGCTGGGTATTCAATGTCCTGGTTCAGAAGGGAATACCTGCCTCCCTTCAAACGTGTATCCTTCATCCATTTCCCCACTTGAAGAGTCACTGTGTTAACAAGTTGCTCCTTCAGAGGATAATCAGATTGACGCTTCACTACTTAAAAGGCAAAATGTGGCCGAGCGCGGTGGCTCAAGCCTGTAATCCCAGCATTTAGGGAGGTCGAGGCGGGTGGATCATGAGGTCAAGAGATCAAGACCATCCTGGTCAAAATGGTGAAACCCCGTCTCTACTAAAAATACAAAAAATTAGCTGGGCATGGTGGTGCGTGCCTGTAATCCCAGCTACTCAGGAGGCTGAGGCAGGAGAATTGCCTGAACCCAGGAGGCGGAGGTTGCGTTAAGTGGAGATTGCACCATTGCACTCCAGCCTGGGTAATAAGAGCGAAACTCTGTCTCAAAAAAAAAAAAAAGGCAAAATGTTAATTAGGGAGGGCAAAGAGTGTGGGAGTGGGCAGGTCTAGGGTAGGTGGAGCCCTAGTGGAGAGAGAAGGAAGTGGGAGGAGAGGAAGAAGGAGGTGAGGGGATGCACACATGCTTGGGAGGACAATAAAGGCAGGCCTCTGTGATTCACTGGCTTTCCAATACCAAGGAGAACCAGCAGCACATTGTTAAATAATCCTAAAAGTACGACCCTGCTGTTATGCTGCCTCAAGCTCCAGTGGGTCTTTATCGCCACTGAATGAAGTATGAGCTCCTCTGCAGGTGGCTCATCCTAGCCAGAGTCCCTACCTACTCTGCATTGCAGTGACTTTCGGCTGTAAGCCTTTGTATAGGGTCTTCCCTCTTCCTGGAAAGCACAGTCCCTCCTCAAGTAAACTGGTCATGACTTAGTTCTGTAGTCTTGCTTCTCCAAAGTCGTCTGGGACCAGTTTGAGGGAGGTTAAGAGAGCCCATAGCCCTCTGAAGACACCCTGCTAAAGCTCTTAGATTACTCAATTGTTTGGTTACCTGCCTGCCTCTCCCCAAAGACCCTGAGACATGATTTCCTGAGGATACTCACTGGGTTTCAGTTATGTCTGTGTCTCTCAATGCCTGGCAAACAGTAGGTCCCCAGTTGATACTTGCATGACAAAGCAATTATGGGGACCAGTTTACAAAGGTGGTGATCCATCTTTGGTGGCTCAAAGATTACATGCTTGGCAATACCACAGAAGAGGGGAAACAATTTTTGCCAATTTTTCTCAGAAGGGCTCTTTATAACTATATATGCCCCCTCAAATAAGAACCCCCAGATGAGAGATATCCCCTCTGTGAATACTATAAATGATACCATTAGTACATCTCAAATAATACCATCTGCCCATGCCCTAATTGCTAGGTATTTTCAAGATATTCTAATGGCCAGAGCTCTTTCTGGTTCCGTCTTTGCAAATTGGTGGTCCTTAAAATGTGGTCCCTGGACCACAGGCATCGGCAGCACCTAGAAACTTGTTAGAAAGAAAAATTCTCAGACCCCATCTCAGCCCCCTGAATCATAAGTTCCAGGGGTAGGGCCCAGGAATCTGTGTGTGAGCGAGCAATCCAGGTGATTATCACGTGCCCTAAAGTTTGAAACCACTGTTTTAGACTTTACCAGGACCACAGGTACAGTCTCATTATTTAAAGTACATATTTATGTGAAGACGATGAAATACAGATTCATAAGGATGTCCACCTTTCCACCGAGGCAGTACGGTCTAAGTTAACATTCTGCAATAGTGGAAAAATTCTACGTCTGTGCTGTTGACAGGGTAGTTACTAGGTACATGTGGCTTTGGGCATTTGAAATATGGCTACTGGGACTGGATAACTGAATTTTAAAGTTTATCTAGTATAAATTTAAATTTAAATAGCCACTTAAGCCTAGTGGCTACCATACCAGACAGTATGGTTCTACAAGATGACTAAGCAATATAAAACTACATTCAACCCAGTTCCTAAAATCCCAGCAATAAAAATCTTTTAAAAAATACATTCTCTTAGATTCTGTCACCCTTAAAATGGAAGGTACCTATATTCATGGATTTGTTCATTCAGTAAAGTATTTGCTGCTTATCTAGAGTTGGTTCTATCAAATTAATGTTTGGAAACGTTTTTGAAGTAGTTTACAGCATTATGTAAAGTAGTAGTATTCTTTCCGCATAATCTTGGCAAGGCTTTAAGCATATGATCCGATCTGCAATAAATTAGGATGCTGGGCCAATAAGTCATGTTGTTACTATTACAGGAAGGCCTGTACTATGTGCCCCATAATGCATCTTTAAGATTTAAAGAAAAAGGATATACTATAATAGAAGTCAAACTCAGAAGCTGCCAAGGGAATGTCTCTTTGTGGTTATATATGTCTTTCAGACTGCTCTGATTTATACCAGGTTCTGTTCGGGTAGACAAGGGGTCTCATTTTCCAAGACAAATATGTACTTTCATGCTGCTACCTAAACATGCTGCCCCTTGCTGTCCATCATGAATGAGTTTGTACACAAAAAATTAAATTTGTATTATAGAAAGACTATAATCAACATTAAAAAATTTATCTTAAATATTACTATTAGCACTTTAGCCAAATCCAGACTATCCCTAAACAAATAACGGCTCTTGCATGAATGTGCACTCCTAAGTGAGGACTTTTGCAAAGCTTTTTCTCTAACCTCTGGGGAGGCAACTCCAGCCTGCATATACTGGGACTTCTTCAGGAGGAAACGGCCTGGGAGTATGACAAGGGCCTCTAGCCCTCAGCAAGAACCTAGGCCCTAGGACTCTGCATGGATTTGGACTGAACTGCCCATAAAACTCTCCTGTGATACCCGTGCCTAAGGCTATAATACTCAGCCCTGACTCTGGCCCTGTCTGGGACATCCCAGATAGAGATGTCTTGTTCCTTTGTGCCAGGCTTGTGGAAGTTAAATAGGATTCAGGCACTCCTGCCAGGACATAGGGTGTCTCCATCAGACAGGCAGGTGGTTCAGTACAGGGACCCGAGTGTTGAAGTGGAGCTACGTCCTTGAGCAAGTGGGATACTCCCTATGCAGAGCCTAGGAAGTACTGCATTTTCTTTCATGGTCTCCACCTCAAATGTCTGCACAATCACTATAAAGATTTTGAGGGGAATAAGAAGGAAGAGGACAGTTGGGTTGAGGGGGAAAAGGGGTTTGGGTCAAATCAAGTGAGCTCCAGGCAGAACTAAGGAGAAGGAACGTAAGCGGGTGTGGGAGGGTTGGTGGTCTGCAGGTATGCCCTGTAAAGGTCAACTATAAACCAGAGTGAACATGCAGATGTCATTTAGCCCAAGGATGCCAAGCCCAGGCTTTAAACCCTCGCTTCCCTCACCCAATGCAAACCTCACAAACGGACCCCGGAACTCTTTCCCACCAGACCTGCAGGCTCCTAAGTATTCAGAATAACAGCCAGAAGACAAGGCTGTGTGGCTCAGTTTACAAACCAAACAAAATCTTCCCCTTCCTGATCTGTGCCAGTCCCTCCACTGTATGAAGGAGGATTCCTGAATGATTAACAATAGCATACAGATCCCAAATTGAGCTCTCGCCATGGTCCAGCACTTTACAAATAACAACTCATTTCATCCTCACAATGATTCCATGAAGGGAGATTACTAGCCTCATGCAGGAGATGAGGAGACTGCTGCAGAAAGAGGCTGAGTTCAGCTGCGAAGGACGCGCAGCTCATAAGTGGTGGCGTTGGGCTCTCCCCCACCAGTGTCCCTGGTTGCCCCCGCTTTGCTGACACTGCCTCCCATGTGGATGAGGCAATGGTTTTAGGTTTATCAGAGAATACACAAGCACATAAGTTTTACAATACTATACTTGCAGATTCATTAAAATCCGACCTTTACAGGATATTAAAACCATTCTAAGAGACAATCATGGTGAAGGTGTAATCGCATTTGTAAGCTTGCCAAATCGGAGTGTAAGAGCTTTTATGAAAAGTTTCAGAAATGTGGCTTAAAGGGTAACGGTTTATGATCAACTGCCTTTTGATCTCTCATGTGAAAAATATGTACTTACATATATTGCAGGAAACCTCACCACTTCCTTCCTAAGTGTCGGTCAAAAACACTAATTACTAATTAGACTGTGAAACTTCCCTTACAGATGGTAAAAATGAGCTATTTTCACCCCACAAATATAGATGTGACATACCACCAAGAAATGTAGAAATCTTTCAATGGTTTTATTGTAGACAGTATGAACAATTTAAGCAAATCATATAAAAATAAATTAGAAACTAATGAAAATAATCAGCCCTTTCATAAGAGGGGAACACAACCCAGTTCTAGAAGAATCCAGAGCTAGCCAAAGAGGCCAGGTCCAGATGCCTTCTCCCTGCCCCATGAATTGGTTAGTCCTAGCTTGGTCTGTGATTTTCATGGGGACTTCAGGCACTTTCTTTTATCTACCTGTAATCACAGGCAGCAGCACTGCTTCCTTTGTTTTCTCCCAGGCATTCCCCACAAGGGAAAGTATATGTCATGTCCACCTGCCAGCCAGGATGATGACACAGTCTCCCTTTACTCTGTGTTCACAGAATTTTAGTCTGCCACATCAGCACATTTGCCAAAAGAATCAGTGTGGGATGAAATGGAATTGGACCAAGTGCTACAGCTCGAGGAGGAAATGCCTCCCTGACCAGAGTGTGCTCACGTGCTCATCGCAGGACACTTACCAGCATCGAGGCTGCCTGTGGCCGCTGTCCAGCCCATGACAGGCGGGATGGCTCCAACCACGGCTCCGACCCATGTGTTAGCAATGCTAATCCTCTTCAGTGGTGTGTAGCAGCAGGTATACAGGAAAATGTTGAAGAGCCCCAGGGCTCCTGTGAGTGGATTCACCCCCCAGGTGAGAATGGCAACTCCAGGAACAGCACAGCAAGTGGCAAAAGACACGGCTAACAACGGGCTGGAAAAGAACAGAGAACATGGAGTGACCATCTTCACCTTAACTCAATCACACCACCTAGAATCAGCACTAACAAACTGCAAATAATCCACCTGGCCAGTAGGGGCAGTCAGTACTGGTCTGGCTTCTTCCTGGATATGGGGAATCCTCTCTATGAAACAAACTTGAATATGTTTGTGGGAGCTCTGGCTGCTCTTCTTCATTTTGCTAGCCCACAGTAAAGTGGTGAAGAGAGTCAGAGTTACAGTGTTCTGAATTCACACAGGTTCTGTCCCTTCCTGGCTATAGGATGGCTAGGTTTCACTTACTTCTCTCTACAAGAGAAATGATCATCTCTTTCTCCAAGGGTTGAAGTGAAGATGGAGACAATGCCTCCTCTGCATAGTGTTCCATTTTATATTTAGTCATGAACAAACCATTTAAAACACAATATTGGGAGATTTGGCAGAAAATAGCACCTGAATTCTGGAAGCAGTTCTCCCCCCTTATTTATACTTTATTAAAACATCACCACTGAATTCATGATAATGAGTAGCAATGGTGTGCCTCGGACTGCAATCGTTATCATGTCTGTAAGGAACTACAGGCTCAGCATGCTACCAGTTCCCAACAACAGCAAACATCAGGTGGCCATTGTACAGTGCCAGTTTCATAACTTGACTTATGGACACGGGATTTTCAAGGGGAGGTCGCACAATGTTATTTATGTAAATGAAGCCCATCAACTAAAACTCTAAAATGATAATCATTATCACAAGCCTGTTTCTCCAAAGAGCCTAATTCTAAAAGTAGACTTTGTATGGAATCTGGTGAAAGACTTTTTGAGAGTCTAGATAAATTGGATATACTAGTTCCTGCTTATATGCATGTTTGTTTATTCTTTCTTGAGAAACCTAAGGAGATTACTTGAGCCTGCCTTCTCCTTGCAGAAACCATTAATTCCACTTCTGAGTAAGGTATGTTTGTATAGTGTTCAGTGACCTTGCTCGATTAAAGACTCCACAATGTGCTTTTTGGGAAGCAAGAGCCACCAGTGTGCAGCTTCTAGGGTGCTCTGGTTTTAAAAACAGCCAACTCCCTAAAGAGGCAGTCTTTACCTGACGTGCACACATGTGAGATGATACCCTTCTATGCACAGGGCTGCAGTGTTCCCATGGCAGGAGAGAAGCCCTGGGTCTATGAGACGGCCCCTCTAGGAAAAAGACTAACTTGTAGAATTATGACGAGTTAGAATTCAGCCGGGAGGGGGCCAGGGCAGAGCCCAGCAGCTGGAACTACAGTACCGAATGAAGTCAGGGTGAGTGAAGTCAGGGCAACAGAATATGAAAGCTAGAAGTGACTTGATGGAGAATTCTGGCCACCACCCTACCATTCTACTATGGGGACCAGCACTGACTCTTTCCTCCCAGGCCTGTAGCCACTGTGCCCAAAGAGTGACCCAACTGAATGGGAATTTTGATGGAAAATGAGAAAATACAAGGCATATGTTGCTGTCAAGGTGCTTGTGACAGAAGAACCATAAACTACAGATGAGAGACTTCCAGTGCACATTCTGCCCTGAGGGTGCATTTCCACCCACCTGTTCCTGGGCCATCTCTTTTGAACCCTGTGGTCAGTTTGTGGTCAGTTACTTCCACAACACTCACTCAAGCACCATTAATAATTCATTCTGCCTTGTCCATCCAACATTCCCACGCTGGATCTGCTCAATAACCTAGTCTCTGCTCCTGCTGGGAAAGCCCTACACTCATACTAACTGACCTCATTTCAAGGAGATGGCTTAACAGTGCTGGTGCTTAGACACGTTGATTTCCATTTTCATTCTTTATAGTGACAATTTTAACTCCTATCCTGACTTCTCAAGGCTCCAGCTTCACTCTAGCTCCCAATACACCTTAACAGATGCCCTGCCCTCTTACACAATAGTGACAAATGCCCTCAGATTTACTTTCTTTCTCCCATTTCAGAGGCTATCTTCATCTCTTTTAAAGATAAACCGTCCACTTTTGTTTTTATTTAATCTCCTCCCTAATCTGTCTTTTATCTTCTATCTCTACTGTCTATTAACCTCCTGCATCAAATAAATTACTTTCTTTGTATTTCCCCCAAGGCAATACCCGTCTTGCTTCCTTGACACTCTTCAAAGCCAAGCATCCTAATGGAGTGGACCACACACATTCCTTGTCTCTATCTCTCCCATCCCTCAGTTTCCTATTTGTTCCTCAACTGTATCTCTCACCAACTGCTGCAACAGATTTCTCTAAGGTGGAGATAGACAAGGGGGCTTCAAAATTTCATGGAAAATGCATATTGTGAAAAGACTATACAGAGACTTCACAAGTTTTTTGCACCAAAATAAACTCATACTAACGTGTTATAACATGTCTGAACAGGATCTAGTTTGAGGCACTAAGAAGTAAGAAAATAGCCCTTATCAAAACAACATGAATTCTGCTAAAATAGAATCAAGAACAAATATCACATCTAGGCTAACGCTTGGATGGAAGAATAGTGAAATCACTGATGCTTTACAAGAAGTTTATGAGGACAATGCTCCCCCAAATCAGCAGTTTACAAATGGTTAACTTTCTTAAGAACAGATGATGTTGAAGATTAAAGTCCACAGCTGCAGACCATCCACATAACTTTGTGAGGAAAAAAATCAATCTTTTTCGTGCCCTAATTTAAGTGGACCAACGGTTAACAGTAGAAACAACAACCAAACCGATACCACAGACAACTCAATTGATTTAGTTCTCACAATTCTGATTGAAAAATTACAGTTGAGCTAGCATTCCACTCAGTGAGTGCCAAAACCGTTGCACCCAGATCGGCTACAGACAAGAGCAGGGCTTTCAATGGAAATTTTAAACAAATGGGATCAAGATCCTGAAGCATTTCTTCCAAAAGGAAGAGGAAAATGAATATGTAGCAGGAGGTGAAACAGGGCTTTACCACTACAATCCTGAAAACAGACAATCAAAACAATGGCTACCGAGGGTGGGAGTGGTCCAGTCAAAGAAAAAGTGAACAGATGAAGAGCAAAGCTCATGCAATAGTTTCTTGGGATGCTGAAGGCATTTTGCTTGATTCCTTTCCAGAGGGCTAAAGAACAATAACATCTACTTATTATGAGAGTGTCTGTAAAAAAAAAGTAGAGCTTTAGCAGAAAAATGACTGGGAAAGCTTCCCCAGAGACTCCTTCTCCATCACAAAAATGCTCCTGCTCATTCCTCCCATCAAACACAGGCAACCTTGTGAGCATTTTGATGGGAAATCATTAGGCATCCACTTCAAAGTCCTGATTTGGCTCCTTCTGACTTCTTTTTGTTTTCTAATCTTAAGTCTTTAAAGGGCATCCATTTCTCTTCAGTTAATGATGTAAAAAAGAAGGCTGTGACATAGTTAAATTCTATGTCAGTTCCTTACAGATAGTCTAAATTGCTGGTATCATTGCTTATGAAAGCGTCTTGACCTTGACAGAGATTAGGTTGAGAAATAAGTTTTACATTTTTATCTTTCAATTCTATTTTTTCCATAAACTTTTTGAAGTTCCCTCATGTATCATGTGTCCTGGGACCATCTACCTTCCCAATATGGCACACAATATGATTTTCCAGATGAAAGATTACAAAGATACCTCTGTGCTGTTACATCTTCCATATACCCAGAAAGGAAACTTCAGATGGCTAAAAAGCAGTACACATATTATAATGTTACTCTTCTTCCTAATTTATAGCTTATAAGAACAGATTTTTTTTTTTCTATGAGACTCTAAAAAAACAGCTTTAGTTTGGGTGGGAGAAAAATGTGGCTGATAAACATTTTTATTTTCCCTGAATTGGCCCTTGTGTTTAAAAAAAAAAAGAAGGTTGTTCATTGCTTCTCCAAGTTCTGTGGAAGCCAGTTGGATTCAAAGGTATTAGTGTTATAAAAAGCCCTTTTAGAAAAGCACATATGAATTTAATTTATTGAGATAGGCAATTTTAGGTGGAGGTTTAGTTTCTGACCTTTGTTGAAATCACAGAAAATCATGAGACTCAATTTTGGTGTTTAAATAAATGTGCACAAGGGCATGAATGAAAACTGGGTAGGGTGACAAATCATGCAAACAAAAATGAAGCTATTTACCCAGGATGCCATGATCACTCTCAACATCCAGGTACCTGAAGGAACCCATCCCCTTCTGGCAGGAGAGTGTTGAATCACTGGACTTCAGAGCTTTCTTGTGTTATGGGCAAAGGTAATCCAAATGCACACTGTGTGAAATTTATTTTCCTGTTATGTCTCATATTTCCTAAAACACGTGTAACAAAGTAATATACACATCCAATTCAGAAAATTGGCAACTTCAGAAAAATCACAAAGAAGAAATTCCTCATGAGTTATTCAGAGACACATACTAGTTGATATCATCCCAGCCTTTGTCTAATGATGTAACTATTTAAAAAAAGTGAGAATATGCTAAATTGTGGTTTTATTCCCTGCTTCATTTCAACATATCTTAATAATTTCCTTAGGCTATTAAATATATTTTTTATATCATCATCATCATTAATATTTATAATATAGAGTAGCTTATTCTATGGATATACCACAATTAATTCAACCAATATACTTTTTAAAAGACATTCAGTATTTTTCCATTTTAAAAAATCAGAACGCATGTTGGGATAAATATCTATGGGTAGACTTTTGTTCACAGCTCTGATTGGGAGAAATTATGAAGATAAATTCCTAGATGTGAAACTGCTCAGTCAGATGATACGCACATGTTTTAGGGATTTTGTCATGTGCTGCCAGGCTGTACTCCAGAGAGTTTGTACCAGTTTACACTCCCACCAGCAGTATATGAGAGCACCTTCTTCTAGAATCTGTATCAACACTGGGTGTGGCATTAAAAACAAAGCAAAACAAAATCAAAATGTGCCAATAGGATAGATTAAAAAACAGTATTGAGTTTCTTTAAAAAACCTTAAAATTAACAAATAAAACAATTT